ACCTCTATTGTTGTTGTGATATATGGGAATGAAATGGTAATTAGTATGATGATTGAAAGGCAGCGAATGTCAAGGTTATTCGACACTTAACTGCACTTGAGAATAGAAAATATAGGGAGTATAGGTGTATACATATATATGTGTGTGAGTGTGTTTGATTAACTAAATGCACCATATGTGAGTAAATAAAATTTTTTGAAAAAAACGTTATGTTTTATTTACTACTTTTTATTGTTATTAATTTTACGCCTATGTCGGTGGAGCATTGGTTGATATGAATTCTTCTTCTTCTTCATCTTCTTCTTCTTATTTTCATTCATATTCTTCTCCTACTTCTTCACCTTCGTCTTCTTCTTCTCATTCTTCGTCGCGTTCTTATTCTTCTTCTTCTTTTTCTTATTCATTTTGTCTTCTCCTTCTTCGTCTTCTTTTTCTTCTTCTTCTTCGTCGTATTCTTCGTTTTCCTCTTCTTGTTCTTATTCGTCCTCTTCTTCTTCTTCTTCCTCTTCTTCTTCTTTTCCGTCTTCGTCTTCTTCCTCTCCTTCTTCTTCTTCTTCGTGTTCTATTTCATCTTTTTCTTCGTCTTCTTCTTTTTATTCTTCGTCTTCTTCTTCATCTTCTTTATCTTCCTCTCCTTGTTATTTTTCTTCTTCATCTTCTTCTTTTAATTTTTCATCTTCTTCCTCATTGGAATAGGCACCGCTTACGCAATACGAAGTGACACTAGGCCGCTCTTCACTTGATCCTTCCAATGGTGCAGAGGTCTCTCCCTTCCTTTGCTTCGCTTACGGCATAGCCGCTGTCGCTTCATTCGCTGCAACAAATTAACGTACCATATAACCTGTACCATTCCATCGTACGCGGGTATCGCCGTTTCAAATGTGCAAAGGTTCATGAATCGTTCTAAAATTATTTTTTCTCTAGAAGACTTACAGGGCCGCCTCAGCGTTTGTCGACATTGTCCACGGTTCTGTACCATATAGTAGGACGGCAATGATGACTGACTTGTGGGGTCGAGAGAGAACTTTACTCTTCCATTGCCAACTCAGTACGAAGTAGCCAAGTAGTGATTCTGTAAAATTCACACTTATCTTTATCTCCTCATTATTGTAGAGCTCTATTTCTAGGCTTTTGTCGATGATCCTTAGGCTCTACAAGGTTGACCTTAGGCTCAAGATAATTGTAAAGTACATTTCTCTGTCTTTGATCTTTATGAGACATTGCTAGATTACAAAGGGTTCGGCGGCAGTAGTCAAGTAGGCTTATTGTGATATTGTGATTTTTACCCGATCTAAGCTTTTTCCTGTTAATTTAATTAAATAATTTCGGCAAATCATCGGGGAAAGTAGCTCTAAAATCTGATTATGGCTTGCCGAAGCCAGGACAGTCGCATGAAAAATGAAAGATAATTTCTTCTTCTTCATCCTTCTGAGGCGCTGCCCGGCCAAGTGCCGGCAGAGGGACCTACCTCTGTTATAAGCCTCCTACCAACGGCCGATGGTTTTTTAATAAAGAGCTTTTATTTAATGACCGAAACACTATCAGAGGGCTTTTTTTTTGTCGAGAGGCGACCGTCATTATTAAAATAAATTTTCGTATAATCTTGGATGTTGGTCGGTGCAGCAGTCGTACCTTGGTACGCAATGCTAACCACTCGTTTGTTGTCCCCTCATTTCACAAGGTTTGTTCTGTTTGGCCTTCTCATGTAGAGATCGGCGATAGCTCATACTGTCGCTTGATTGTCATAGCATAAGAACAACTCAACCAAGCTCTCGCGGCTTCTGCCAGTAGGCTGTGTGTGTGCAATAGCTGACAATTCAAGTTCGAATTGAGAGTTTGAGCGTAGGGGTATAGCACATAGTGAATGATTTCTTGCTGAACTCACCAAACACACAATGAAACCTTCCTGGTGGTCAATCTTGGCTTGGAAACAGTTTAACTGCTTTTCAACCACAATCAGTTTCCTTTGATTTGGCTGTAACTGAACCATTTTTCATCACCAGTCACTATGCGCTAGAGATATCGATCGATTTTATAACAGTTTTTTTTAGTGTTATGGCATCCATACATAAAGCATTTTTCCAGTTGGTCACAAACTGCTTTTTGTGCTTTGCTGAGCTCCTGGGCAATCGAAAAATTCCTTAGCTGACGGTTTCTACTCTTCATCAACATTTTCTACAATTGCCCTTCCTTACCGTGGGGTGCTTCAGCATTGTCATCAAAATTTCGGGAATTGTGCACGATTGACTCTTGCAGTATCAGGAGTAGAACCAGCATAGAGTTATGCACATTTTTAGCTGCCTCAGTTGTGTTGTCATCTTAATCGTAAAAAAATTTTAGAATGTCCATAGACAGATGCAGATCACTAAGGCCATATATGGCAACATAAATGAGTAGCTTTTCACCTGAAATTTCTCGCTCTGAGGTCGTCTTACAGTTGCATACCAGTTAATAACCAGTTCATTTATGCATGCTGAACAGCTGGTGATAAGCTCAAGCCACATGGCTTGGTGACAATTACTCGACTGATGCCAAAACAAGTACTACTTGGCAGTGGCTGTGATAGAAGAATATTTATAAATATATATATATATATTATATATAACTCGTCGGTGCTTGGTAACCGCTGAAGTAACTTTTAGTCGAACTTCTGCTCCAATTTACGGCTTGCATTTTATAGATGACTGTCTTATGAAAAATCGAAACAGTAATATGTGTTATGGCGTTAATAATGAACTGCTGCCACTGGATATCGAAGTGACTTCATCATTTGCACACCTTTCCTGAACTAAATACTTTCAAATTGGTTTGTTCTGTCACTGCAGGGTGAGTCAAATGGTATTATTTCGCTGGTAAGCACACTAATAGTCGTACGTACATGGTTGAGTGTAAATATGTATGCAAAGCTATTTATATATATAAATATATATATACATATATCTGCCATGCTAATTAATCCCAACAACCAATGCTTCTACTACCACAGCGACCGCGCCTTCGGCTATTGTTCAATGGTTTTGCTTATAATTTCGTTATAATTTGCTGCAATTTATTAAGGTTTGTAGCAGAGACAAAAGCAATATGGTCCAAACAAACAATCGACGATGCACATGGAATGATGATGATGATAAAATCAGTTAATGAGATTTTCTCACTAAAGCAATAAGGCTCACCTTTATTAATTAGTAGCACAAGCAATGTCATAATTATCCTTTTGTATACTAAAAGGACATGACATCGAAATATATACCTACATATACGAGTACGTACATATGTGGGGATTAACAAAAGTTTGATAAGTTGGCCAGAAATAAAATTCTTATTATATTTATTCTTAATCTCTGTACTTTCTTAACTTCTCTACATAATCACCATTGAATTCAATGCATTTCTTAAGCCTATAGATCCACTACTGAAAACAGTCTTCAAAACCGTGCCTTTTAGCTTATCAAGCTCAACATTAATCGCATTAATTATCTTCTCGTTAATTTTAAATTTTTTGTTTAAATTTTGTTGATAACTAGAAGTCACAAGTTGCTTTATTTTGGTGCTAGACGTATGTCTTCGATCCCAGATGTCGCAATAAAATTACTCGTTATTTCAGCAGTGTGCGATGGTGCGTTGTCATGATGTAAAAAGTAGCGCCGCAAATCCACTTTCTTACTGTTTTCCCACAAATTTTCGAAAACTTTTGGTAGTCACACTTCGGAGAACCATTTTGCAGTTACCCTCTGACGCTATGATCCTTTCCAGTGGAAGAGCAGCTACGATTTCAGATCGGTTGAAATAAACTGACGTCATTACTTTTGCTGCTGATTTTTGTTGCTTAGATTTTGGGTTGGGTTGGCACCTGTTGGGCTCCAGACCGTGGACTGCTATTTGGTTTCTGGATCAGTCTTATAGACCTAAAATTTGTGACCAGTAACGACTTTACAGAAATCGTTAGACTGGCCATTTTCGAGTTTGTTTAGTAAAAATAATGCGCTCGACCTCTTTTTGCCTCATTTAAAACTCGTGGTAACCATCGAGAAGATTCCTTCGGGTATCCCATTTGATTACCTAGTATGCGCGACACAGCCATGGCATTCAAGCCTAATTCTTTAGCAATTATTTTCTGTGCCAATTGTGGGTCTTCCTCAATTTTATGAGTCATAGGTGGAAGATTTTGGTCGACTTTCTCGGGGGTCGTGCTCTACGGAAAAATGTCCGGTCTGGAATCTTTTGAACTATTCAGATATAGTCTTTAAAGACGATGCAATCGTTCCATATGCAATTTTGTATTCACTGAATATTTTTATTGACTGTAAATTACGCCTTAACACATAGAGCATCACATGGCGAATTTCTGTTTCCGTTGGTGTTGGAATTTCTTCTGCCTTATCCTTAGTTATCTTTCGTTTGATCGTCTCCATTTTAGCTGATTGTTTTTAAATTTGAAATGAAGACTAATAAAGTCATTGCAAAGGATTTGTAATTTTTAGATTTAACAAAAATAAATTGAAAATCATCAACTGATCGAACTTTCGTTAAGCCCCTCGTATATTGAATGGACCAAAATAATAAAGGTATACACATGCGCTCGTTAGAAAGGCTGTAAGCGTGACACCAAATAATTAGTTAATTAATTTATAAATTTATAAGCTTAGTTTGATCATTTACCACTAACAGCTTGCAAGGCGACTACATGAAGAGGATATTAATACCATATAATATTAATATTAGACTACAGGAAAATCAATTTTGTTGGAGAAATTTGCTTTGGAAGGCTGGCGAGCTGAAGGCGCTTAAGAAAATCAATCATAATTTCTTTTATAAGTATTTAAGAAAAAATCTTTATTGAATTTGCTTTAATTAAAACCTAACCATATGTTTTGGAAACCTAGTAAGTAGTGAATGACAGTCCTTTGCTAGTAATGGACGGCCGGAAAGAAGTTGGTTCTAAAAAAAAAAAAAAAAAAAAAAAATTAACAATTCTGTTTAAGGCATTGAAAGTGCTGAATGATAAAGTTTAAGGTTCAAGTTCAAAGTCAGTAAGCTTATCCTTAGTATTTCAACAGTTTTGCAATAATACTCAAGCTCTTTGTTTGTCTTTGAGATTTTTTATAGTACTTCGTATCTCACTGCTGGTGTATTTCTTCATCGATTGTTCCAATTGTAGCGATGTGGGAAGAGAGGTTGATTTTCTTTTCTTTTTTGGTGATTCGCAAAAGATTTAGATTTCTCTTAAGAAGTTTTCAACCAGAATTTGTCCGATTTTCCAATTGATAGGAGCTAATCAAACGCGGCGTCAGTTTCTTTGTTCGCTTTACACAGAGGACAAGTTCTATATAGAGATTTATTCCAAATTTTTAATAAATTTCTGCATTTTTGAGTTCTTTTACCTCGGGAGAATATCTTTAATTTTTTTCTAAAGCAGGTCTCTTGTACCTATGGTTATTTTTATAGGGACATTAATATAGGTTACATTTTTCACGCCTGACGTTTTTTCATTATTTTAGTTTCTTTAACGGTGTTGTGATGAACGTGCCCAATGCTGACTTTTTTTTAGCTGGAGGGGATTTCCATACAGCTTCTTGTAAGCATGTACATGGAGCTAAAAAATATCATCCTAAATTTCAAGAGGCAGGTTTATACAAAGAGTGCAACTATAAATGGTTTCAAAATGTGTGCATTTGTGACTTTTGCAAAGCTGAGAGCTTTACCCAACACTTTGAAGCTCTCTCTCATCGTATGATGAAAATGGCTGGATAATGAGTTGAGGATATCACAAGACTGCTCTTTTGCATATGACAAATCTATTTGATAGTCCTTTCGCTAAAAAGAAATCAACTATATCACAGTGGGTTCTTCTGGAGAGAATATTTTCAAGTGCATACTTCTGGATCACTTATCTAGCTTGCGGCCTTTTGTTGATATTACACAATTAGTTGAGAAAATTTGTAGCTCTCTGAGTGTCGTGACAGTTCATTGGTATTCCATATGTCACGATTTAAGAACTTTGTGCTGAGTCAAAATTTACCAATAGATTTATCGTAGTTGTTATTTGACTCATCACATCTCTTTGAACGTTATTGTTTTGGACGGTTTGATTTGGCTGACCGGCGACAATTTGAGTAGTTGATGATTGTTTAGGGTATGAGTTTGATTTTTCTTGCTGAGATAAGGCTAGATGTCAAGGTAGATGCTTGGAATTTTATATAAACAGAACATCCTTTATGATAAAGAGGCTGGCTACCATCGAGTAATGTACATTTAAGATATTTTAAACTTGTCATTTTCATACGTCTCAGAAACGTGTTCGTCTGCTCATTTAATGCGTTTGAACAGTCTGCGATGATCTGATTTTGAGCGTCCGCAGTCTTGACGCCTGGAACACTGTGAGAGTTCCCATTATGGGCAAGGTGATTCAAATGCAAAGCCGCCATGAAATAACGACTTTTTAAATTGTACACATATTTATTGTTTGTTTTTTGCTTCATCACAACAGCAAATATGGAAAGCGATCTTTTTGTGCGTGAGAGCTTTATGACGCCAATATTACCAGTCTCTGGGCACAGAGGAATAGAGTGACTTGGTTGAAAAAGGGATATTGTTAATTTGGGAATGATCGCGTAAGCGTTGCCTATGCCCATGAGAAAGGAGAAGAGGTTGTGAAATGTGGTACATCCAGAAAGTAAGTGTATTGCGGCTCATACGGCTAGAGGTATTATATTGTGGTCATGCTGGCAAGGATGTAGCTTAGCCAGAAGTCAATACGAACTGTTGACGCGACAACACGTTTCCTGAACTAAGTCATTCCAGCTTCCCACCAAGTACGAAACACGCTATGTCAAGAGTGCGCTTACAGAAATATCCCCAAATAATTTTTTTTAAATATAAGAAAGAATTTCATATTTAAATAAATTAATTATAATGTATTAGGAGGCTAGAAACTCTCAAATTTCCCCATAAAGGAATAAGACACCACAAATAAGTAATTTTTCGATTTTGAAAATTTTATTCGTTGCTTAAATTTAACAAAAAGTTTTGTTACTTTTCTAGATTCTCATTTTAATTTTAATTAAAAACGCACACAAATTTTCTCAACATCAATACCTACATAAATAAATATTTGTGTATATATATCAATGCTTCAAGGTGTATAAAGCTCTTACTGTTTGATAAGAAAGCTCCTTAAATGAGCCAATAGAGGGCGTAGAAAATCATACACCTTCACAAGATAAGGATAACGAATGGTCAAAACTCTCTTATACAGCGAAGATTTGAGTGCCAGCAAGGTGTGGTGAATAAGAGTAAGTGAATAAGAGTGTACTGCAGCGAGTGAGTTGCTCTTGTGTTGTGAAGTTTTGGTTAAAGCTTTTATTCATATGAAAATAGTTTGAAAACAGTGAGCTCGTATATCAAAAATGAAGTATGATTATAGCAAATATGTAATGCCCATGCAACATATTTCACTTTAACACTCTCTTCATATAACGCCGCCTTAATCTCTCTTACTTGCCTTTGGTCTTTAATGCGCTTACTACCATTTATATTCACCACAATTGTTTTGTAGAATATGCGACTTTTTTGGTTGCCCTTAGTGATGGCCTTTTAGCCGGATGCTGATACTCACAGTCCTACAACAGCCTTGTACGCTCTGAGCGAAAACACGCTGTTTTATGGTTCGTTTTTAGCTTAGCATTAGCATTCTAAGCTGCGAGAGATTGCCAGCACCACTTCGTAATTCGTGTACATCTCCCAGTCATGCTCTCCGCTTCAATTGTGTTTGTATGTAAAGCGTTTGGCATCTGGCGCGAATTGCTGATTGCTCTTCTCGTTTATACTCTGTTGAGAGCATATACTGTTTGGAGAGTTGTACACTAACACACACACATACATACATACATACATTCGTACAGCCTTCCGTCCATCCGTTGTGTCCTGTCAAAGACGAATTGGCAAAAATGCACGAAATGAAATGCCAATGTCTTCTATTTAACATCAAGGGATAAATCCCGAAAAGGCTCAGTCTGTTTTTGTATACGGGCGTTAAATGGTCGTTGAGCGGCGGAAGTGCGTCGTCGGCTGGTTTCTTTCTACTTTAATTTTTGTTGGCAACTTACACAAGTGAATTTGTTTTGCAAGTAAATACCAACAGTTATAGTGAAAGGGAATACGATTGGTCAGTAATAAATTAAAGCCAAAAAAATAAAAATAATAATAATCGAAGCGCTTATGTGAGAAAACGTAAGAAAAACGAAACTAAAAAGAAAAAAAGTATTTGTTCTAGTCGTGTTAGTGAAGCTAAGTGGTGTGCGTTGGAGAAACCATCGAGAAAGTTTAAATTAAAAGTTTGCATTTACCAAACACACACACACACAAATGTACATAGAAATACGAAACGGTAGAAAAGGTTACAAATAAAATAAATAAATAAAAGTGCGCAAGTCGATAAAGACAACAGACTTTAACTGAACTTGTGTCGGCTCACACCCCGACTCACACCACGTCCCGTGCGTAAAGATTCCGGAACACACATAGTATTTGTTTGCCCTACGCCTGCTCCTCAAACAACTGCCTGTGGCTGCACTGCCGATGCTTTGCTTTTTCGTTAGGTCGTTCAGCTATAAAGATAAAAATCTCATATCCTTTGAAGTTTTATTACAGTGAGCGCACAGAGTAAAGTTGAAATAATCAGTGAAAATAAATAGCAAAACAACTTGATTAGGCACAAGAAAAAGAATGTGGAAAAAAATACAAAAACGAATTCTGAAATAAATGAGTTAAAGAATATTTAAGGAAAATTGAAAGTGAGCATTAGGGAACCCAAGCGATATCACAACCGTGATATTTTGTAGCATCGCCTTTGGGAATGGGTGTGATATTTCAACAAATTAAAAAAAACCAACAACAACTATGTGCATATGCATGTTGTAAGGGTGTGGAGAAAACGAGAGTGACAAAAGCTATGCTTTTGGGAAATCAAATGCACAGATGCTGTTATCTTAAGTGCATTAAGAAAGGCAAATGAAAAGCATAAACGCGAAGAGAAAAAATGAAAAACAAAAATAAAAAAGCGAAACGAAAATATAATATATAAACGAAGAAGAGTGCAATAAAAAAGAAATCATTAAACTAAGTATCTTTCCAGCAATATAAACAGAAAAACAAAACAAACTAAAATTTCAATGCTACGGCAAGGGCAAGTTAATACGTTAATTTGCTTGGCTTTGAAAGGAAGGTGTAAAAATGGAATAGAAAAAATGTTTGTGAGATTTAAGTACTTGCTCTGAAGAGGTCATGGATAACAAAGAAATATATATGTACAAATAAGCAAAAGTAAACTAGAAAAAAATAAAAATAAAAATTAAAATAAAACAAAATAAAATAAACATTAAAATAAAATATATAAAATGAAAAAAAATTAATAAAAAATTACCACAAAAAAATAATATAAAATAAAATAAAACAAAATCACATCAAACAAAATAAAGTACCCTTAAATAAAATAAAATAAAACAAAGTTCGGTACAACAAAATAAAATTATTTAATATAAATTAAAATAGTTTTAAAAACATAAATAAAATTAAATAAAAAAATTAAAATAAACGATATTAAAATAAATTAAATAATAATAATTCATGTAATAAAGTAAACCTAAATAACATAAAATAAAAGGATTAAAAATCAAATGTAATGAAAAAATTAAGATAGAAAGCGAAATAAAAAGTAATTAAAATAAAAAATATTAAATCAAATAAGAAAAAGATATAAAATTAAGTAAAGTAATTTAAAATATAATAAAACAAAAAATAAAAATAAAAAAAAAATAAAATAAAATAAAATAAAATAAAATAAAATAAAATAAAATAAAATAAAATAAAATAAAATAAAATAAAATAAAATAAAATAATATAAATTAAAATAAAATGATTTTAATAAAATACAATTAAATAATTTAATAAAACTAAATAACCTAAAAAAATAAAAAATTAAATAAATTAAATTTTATTAATAAAAATAAAAAATTAAAATAAAATAATATAAAATGATTTTAAAAAATAAAATAAAACAACACTAAATTAAATTACTTAAATGAAAGTAGAACAAAATAAGATTGAATGAAAGGTAATGAAGTACAATAAAATTACAAATTAAATAAAAATATAAATTAAAAACTTTAGATTAGTTGGAAATGCTCAGCATATAATAACAATTAAAGACTTCGCCGCTGAAAGATTGTGTTTCCTTATTTGGCTTTAAGGAGTCGATTTTAAGTAAACCCATTTGATAATTGTGTCATTTTTGAAAAAAAAAAAAACACAGAAATATGATACTCTTAAGAAGAAGTGTACGCCACAAATTTACACACAAATATGTCTAAGAGTAAATTTAAAACGATGAAAATAATAACAGCCTTATAAGTAATTTGTTAAATTCTAATGTGAAACCTTTTATGGTATGTGGTCCTTGGTGGCTTAAGTGAGCAAATAAACATAGTGACAGAATTAAAACAAGAAAATGGAAGAAAAGAAAATTTTGTGTTCTTAAAATAATATAAAAATTAAAATATAACTATAAACGATATATATGTATTTTGTATGAAATTCTATATATTTTAGAATAGCTGCGTATTATGTGAATTAAGAAATTTTTTGCAAAATATGTGAAAATTTGCCGTATATATTTCTTCTTTCCTTTTTATAAAAAATTTTTTAACCACTAAATTTCTTTTTATAATCGGAGTTGAAAATTTTTTGAAATCATTTATTTTTATAGGAAAATATTATAATTTTTTTTTTTGGATTTTCAATATACTCGGTACTAAAAACTTCAATTGCAATTGGTTAAATCATTTTCATTGAATAATTAAGTTGTTGGCTTATTTTGGATGTTGAAAAATTAATATATAAAATCAATCCCACTATATGAAAACACAATTTAATTGGATTGATATTCCTTCACTCAAACTTTTTTTTTTAGCAAACACAGTTGGTTTATAGTTGAAATTTGTTAATTTATATTTCATTACTTACTTGTTTAGTGAAAATGGCAAAGCGATGAAAATGTAAAATAAAATAAAATAAAATAAAATAAAATAAAATAAAATAAAATAAAATAAAATAAAATAAATAAATAAATAAATAAAATATAACAAAATAGAAAAAGTAAAAATAAATTTTTCTACTGTTATTTTCTTTTGATACATATATACAAAAATTGGATTATAAGGAATTTTTTATTTAAAATTTTTTAAAATTTTCAAAATTATTTCAAGTTTAGTTAGGGAATTATTTTTATCCTCTTCGAGTTTGCAAAATCAGGGCTATCAAAAATTTGTGTTTACTTAGGTTTGCATGATTTTGCTATACTTTTAAGTCGAATTGTGAGAAAATATCTTCCATGTTGATAATTGAAAGTTTATCCAGACTATTTGTGTATGAATTTTTAAATTTTTTTCTATTGTAGATTTTTGAGTATTTATTACAATTTCCATGAAAACCGATCATTGCCCCTTGTTAGCGAAAACTTTTTAGGGCTTGAAAGAGTGGCGGCATTTTGCGATTACACGTAACAACTTCTGCTATGTTTTGTATTTTTAGACGAATTTCAAAGTATTTCAGAAATTTTTTAATATAAATTTTTGCATTCCATAGTTATAAATCTATGCTTTTGTGGCGTATTTATATTATTTTTTTTTTAGAGCTGAGTTTAAACATACATTTTTTTTTTATTTAAACATTTTATTTTTTAGCTTCAGCTTCCTTATTTCAATTTTAGAATTAATATTTCTGGTATAAATATTTGATGCCACCAGAGGCAGCTACAACCTGCTTTCCTCCCAACAAATACTGTTGGTGGCGAAAAATAATACAAAATAAAAGATTACTTTACCTAAGTAAAATGAATTGACAGTGCTAAAATTGGCGTGAAAAAATTTTAAATACGTATAAATGACCAACAATTCTGCTGTCAAACTAAAAGTAAAAAAAAAAATACGCAAATCACGAAAAGAAGAAGAAGAAGAAGTTACAGCAAAACAAAACGAATTTGACAAAAATAACAACAAAACCAAATAAAAAAGTCCTTGAATAGACTGAGCGCACCACGAAGGGTTGGGCGTGGCGCGCTACAAATTGCGTCTGACAAAAATCACTGACGTGCTGTGGCATTTTAATTTTCTTATCAAGAAAAAAAAAAAAAAAAAAAAAAAAAAACAACCATAAAGAAATAAAAAATTAAAAGAAAAAGCGACATAAAAAATCAACAACGAAAACACATAACGACTTAACAGCCAGCCAGTCAGTGGAGCAGCGCAAATGAATCATTTGCAACAACGATTGAGCCATTGAAACAGAGTCGATTGATCAAAAAAAAAAAAAAAAAAAACCAGCACCACTCAGATGACAAAAAATTCATAGTTGAAAAAAGAAGAAGGAGAAAATAGAAGAGCCAAAAAAAAAGCAACGAAAAAGAGTGAAAAAAATCACAACGAAAGTAAATGTGAAAATGCTATCTTTATTAAAAGCAAAATGAAAGAAATTTGTATATTTATTGCTGTCAAACCCCATTGCCAACGCCTTAAGTGCCACTCCACTGGGTCGCTATCAACGCAGTGAAGTCGCTGTGTGGCGCTGTTCAGAGTGAAGATGATGATGATTATGCTGATAATGATGAAGATGACATTGACAGCAGCAGTTCGGCGGCGAAAATTTAGCATTTCATTAATAATTATTACCAAAATAATCATCACTTTATTGATGACCATTTTTCTTTACGGCAAGCCAAAAAAAAAAAAATCCCTTTGCCTTCATCTACGCCACTTGAACATTTTTGCAAGCCATCATCAATCGGCTGACAAACGTTTTGGTGAAAATATGCGCATTCAAAATGCCAAGCACATATATGTAAACGTGCTGGATACCATTAAGGAAAGAGAGAGAGAGGTGCAAAAAAAAAAAAAAATTACTTCAAATTTATGCCACGAGTGTGTGTGGCACACCAAAGTTACTGTGCAATGAGCGGCAGATGAAGATGATGCGCTGATGGGCGACTTTGAAGAGCAGGCGTCTGATATGCGTGATGAATACACGAGCAACCACATTGGCTACAGTTGCTGCAAGTATCTTCTGCTAGCTTCTCGTGCCTGTAGCGCTGCTGATGACACTGATGGCTGACTG